CCATAGATATACGAAGGGCAATTATAGCAACACCATAGCAGAAGCTGTGGGACTTCACATCTACAGAGCTCTTTGCAAATATAAACTGCACAAAAATATAAATTCTTTTCTGTAACCGCTTCAAAAGAAGCTGGTAATTCCTTACAGTTTCTCTGCTGGCATGGAGTAAGAAGTAGCATCAGTGGCAGAATGTTGAGTCTTTACATAGAATCTATGATCTCAGGCAAGCAAAATTTGTCAGTTTAATGAGATACTGCAAGTTAGTCAACCGTTTCATTGCTTTGGCCCCTCAGAAGTGTGTTAGGCATTGATTACAATCACATAGTGTAAATTATTCTAGTTTGTTCAGTACCTCAAGTAAGCAGCAGTAACTCCTCATGTGTTTGAACTCTGATGCTGGCATTCCCATGCCATACCTTGTTAGACATTCAGACAACTGTGCTGATCACATATTTCCTCTTACTTTAATAGGCCTTTCAGGAATGAACAAGCAATCCCTTGTATACTACTATGGTTCCCATCACTTGATGGTCACACTTAATTAAGCACTAGTTTAGTAGAGAGCTGGTTACACTTCATTTCATTAAGTGATTTCATGATCACCAGAGGTACACTGACAGCTCTGTTAGCTGAAGCTATGTGAAAAGGGGCAGCAGAGACAACAGTAACATTTTGCAGCACTTCCTCACCAGTGATTTTCCAGGCACTACTCTTGCAGAGCACATCAAGTTACATTTCCATTAGCATTTAGCTTTTTGGCTCAAAGCTATCTCAGACTTGAGGTATGATAGCCCGTATCATATTACTGCTACCTTTAGCAATGTTGGTCACCAAATCCTTAAAGTCATCATTTTTATATAAAGTAGATACTAAGAATTTCTTCATCTCTCTTCCCTCCTTTAGGTATTTCCGTTCATGATCAGCAAATAAATGTGATTAAAGGACAACATCTCATTTTAAAAATGTAAGCAAGAATCAATTGTGAAACAAGAAAATGTTGAAAGGTTCTCCAGTATGATAAACCAGGCAGTTTAAAAACACTGGGCAATTAACTCTAAAGTATATAAGTATCACATGACAGGAAAAACACAAGCAATGTTACATAATGGACATTGCAGGATATATGTAAAACCACATATTAAAGCTGTATGCAACAAAAAACTTCTCACAACAGTTTATGTTCATTCATAGGGATATGTAATGCACAGATGCTTTAATGTTTCTAATGTGAAAGCATTTTTCCTAATTGAACAAGGGGGGATTTTGCATGACTGTACTTCAAACCTAGATCTAAAGTTCAATCTGCCCGTGTTTTAAGACATATTTCTGTTTAAGAGGGAAAGAAGTATTAGGAAAACACCATCATAAGGGACAACGAGATGAAAGAGGTACAGATGCATAGCAAAAGCCAAAAATAACGCCAAAGACTCGATTTTTGTTATGAAGCCCTTTGTCACAGAGATTTGCATTCAAAAACTGTGAAAATTGATAAAGGTTATCTCATATAAAAATAGCATCTTTGTTCTATCTGGCCTTTAGTTCAAATTATGTGAAGACATAGCAGAACATTTATGATACACTATAAGCAGACAAGAAGAAAAATAAAAATACTTTGTGTTGAAGAGCCAAATGATATGACTACTTGTTACTGTCATTCCTGTTCTATATGAGTCATGAGACTGACATACTAATGAAAAGCTTCCTACATATTTCATCTGTTTTCACTGTCCTATACGAATTACGCTATTATCGTTTGTGACGAGATGGGTTTGTCACCGGAGTCCAGAATATAAGGGAGCCACTTCATTCCTAGGTGGAATTCTGTTTTGTGTGTCTTCACAAACACACATATGTCACATAAAACCAAATTAAAAACCAAACAAAAAAACCCCTCATCTAGCAATGAAACCACATAACGATGTATGGACAAATGCACCATGCCATCCCCCACAGTTTACAACACCGCTATGAGAGGTTTCATGTAAATTGTGTGAACTTTTGCTTAGAAATTACACTTGTACTAACATGGGGGGGAAAAAAAACCCAAACCTGCACTGATTTTTATGACTGGACTGCACAAACTATTGTTCTAAATAGTATATATTCTTATAACATCTTTCACACATGTAGTCTTCACAGTAACTATATCCCTGTTCCAAATTTCAAGGCAGAGTAAATGATATGCCAAGCATTTAAGTGATCTGTTTGAAGTTGTTTAACGAGTTAGAGTTATCCTGGCTGTCTCAAACTCTCATACTACATAAAGCACACCCCAACTACAGTTTGTACTGAGTCATTTAGCCACAGATACTGTAAGCAAAAAGAAATTACATTACTTAAGTCTTAGAAAGGTAATATTTTGTACACTCAATAAATCAAGGAAAAGGAAATCAGCAATGGGCTTTGAACCAAAAATGCAAATTCATAGCAAGGTTACTCAGATTTGGTTATCAAGAAAAGATATTCTCACTGTTTTAAGAGGAAATCTCTAGATTAGATCTCTAGATTAGATCTCTTGTTCTGCTAGCACACAAAACCTAATTCCTTCAAGAAAAACTTTGCATTTTTCAGGTAGGTGAAGCATAGCTCAGTAATAACAATGACTTTACTAATGTACTAATAAACAAAAGATTACTAACTGTAACATCATCTAAATAAACACCCACTTCCATATCTCTTGAATGGAGCATTTCTGCATTGCAGAGCATTTCTCATCCTGCATATCACATATTTTAACCCTACCATTTAACGAGCCTGTCTCATGTACCTTCATACTTGGCTGCCAGTTATATGCATTGACTGGACACCTCAGTTTTAAAGTGCTGTGCATTCTCTGTGGTACTACAAAAGCAACATTATTGATAACAAAAACAAGTTCCAAAAGGGAAACAGAAGAACATCCAACTATAAATCTTTGATTTATAGGAGACTCAAAGCTGCATGATTCAAATACCAGAAATTCACTTTCAGGAATTTTGGCAAGTTTGTATAACCAATAAATTGTTACTAGTTTTCCTTGGTGTTCGTTATAACATTAATAGTAGTGGATTTCTTCATACATGTTTGATTTTAATATCCAGATCTGTGCGAATCCCTCTGCTATTTAACAGAACAAAATTAAACATCAATTACAAAGTCATAGAAGGAAATCTAAAACATTTTCTTTTTTATTAGGCAGATACTCAGAGGTTGAAGATTTAGTCTTCACTGAAAGGCTTTGCCAGCATAACTGCCATTAATGGTTATGACATTTTTTCTTTGAGTGGCATAGGCAGAGCACGACAAAAGCATTCTTGACACCCATCTTTCACATCTGATTTTATGTATATCTTCCACAAACTTGATATCTTGTCTCGCAAGCATTTAAATTAATGAATTTTGTAATCACCGAGCAGCTGAAGATACACAAACCTGGGCTACAATGCCACATGTTTAGATACTACAGCTTTTAAGCGTCTCTTCTCCAGAAAGGATCTGGAGAAGCAAAAGCTCTGATTATTTTTTCCTGAAGATGAACATGGGCTCAAAAAGAAGTGACAAACCCTAAGAATACATGCGTGGCCTTGAATCTGGGGGCAGTTCATCAGCATCGGGGCTCTGTGGCACCAGCTGGAGCCTCAGCCTCTCCTCCAGTGGGAAAGACGTCAGGTCCTTCCTGGTGATGACCCTAACCATTCGGTTCTGCAGGTAAACAGTGAGGTGGCACAGCCCCAGGGTGTGAAAGATGACATAGTTGCACTGCAGCGAGAAATGAGCTCGGACTGACATTGAATATTTGTTTATGTGTGACTTCTGTAAGGCAAAGAGAGAAGACAAAAGTACAAGCACTCCCACTGCCACAAGGGTGGGAAGGACAGGCAGAGGAAGGAGGCCAGGGAGACAGGTAGCAGGCTTGGGGACAGGAGCCAATAAGAACATGGATTCTTCTCTCCCCGCTCCCCATCCCAAATTATGCCTAAAACATCAGGAAATACCATAGTAAAAAAGCACTTTCTTTTTTTGGTAAACCACCAGGTTCACTCTAAATAAACTATTACGTCTGGAATGTACCCAAATTTCACAGGCTAGAAAAGCTGAGGTCCATTGATATGGTCTGAGTTTTTACTTGGAAACAGTCAGTGACCCCAAGGTTTATTAAGTCTCAAGATTTTTTTTATAGCTGCTATCTCATTACACAGCCATTTATGATATCCTATAATATTTCGCAGTAAATGCTTATAAAAAATCAATTCGCATAGAAACAGGCTGCAAGGAAGAGGACAAAGAGAACAATCACATGGCTCTGAGAAGAAGAGGTACTAAACTCTGGTCACTGAAAACCATGAGGGCTGTAATGGTTTCTTGATAGGAACAAAGCTAAAGACCATTTTATTGTTAACTAAGCTGGTCTGTATAGAGTATATAGTGGTTCAGTAAGTTTTTACTTTTTCCATAATTCCACAATATCCTTCTTATGACTTGACCAGTTCTATCAAAGAAGGTGTATTATGCTTCCCAAGTGTATGCTTCCCTAGACAGAGTAAAACTGAAACAAAGACTTGACAAAATAATATAAATAAATGCAGAGAGTAGAAGGACACATCTCTTCTCCGTCTTTCATTTACAGGACAGACAAGACATTCAAAGACATAAGGAGGAAAACAAAAGTAAAAAGATTTTCTCTTTCCATACTGCATATAATTTTGCTGTGGAACTCATTGCCACAGGAAATCATTACATCCAAGAACTTCACAATGGATATTTATGTGGATATCAGAAACAGAGCTTTCATGAGTGATAGTAACAAGCTGTTGAAAGGGACACTTAACTTTGTGCTTCAGGAATCACATCAGATACTAAAATTTAGGTATCAATATGAAACCTCATTGGGTTCCATAAGTTTCTCATAATAAAAAGTTGTGTGGCCCAATGGCACAAGCACTGGACTGGGCCTCAGCTGAGCTGGCATCTACTCCCATGTATGACCTCCTCCTGAACTTCGGAAAATCATGTGTCCTCTCTCCACCTCAGTTTTCCCATCTATTAAAAGGAAACTCTTAATCCAAACTAGATAATGGATATTAGGAGCATTATTGGGTTTTGTAACTTTTCTCTCCTAGCTATTCTCAAAGCAAGAGATTTAGACCAGATGGATCTTGAACTCAGTCCTATCTTATTTACACATAAGTAAACAGGAGCAGATTTTATATCTTTTTAAATAAAACCCACCTGAATTAGGCTTCCTGGCCTGGATTTCTCAGTGTCCCCCCACCTCAGCTTCAGTGACTGGAAATTCACTGAGGCAGAAACTACATTTATTTTGTTTATAACATATTTATTTTAGGCCTTATTTAGTATACTAAAATATTATTGCTTTTGGACCCAGTATTTTAGTAGTGTATTTAGGAAATAAATGTGGCAATGTCATAGCAGGGATTAAAAAAAAAAAAAAAAGAAAAAGGAAAGGGGAAAGAAATTTAGTTTTATTTATAATTTGATGTATAGGCACTGCACTGTAATGGAGTCTAAATCTCAAAAGTGTTGCTTTATATTTGCTTTATAGGACTATAAGAGCCAAATAATGACATTTAAATGATCTATTCCATTAACATTGTATCATTTTGTCAATCTGGAATGTATTTTAATCAAAAGCCCCCTTGAAATGGTCTCCTTTGTTGTATTTTCTTTTTGGCTCATTTTATCAACATCTGTTATGTTTATACAATATGAATTAAAACTTTGGAATGCTGTTTGTACTCAGCTACTTTTGCTGAGAATGTAATGTCGGAGGATTGGCAGTGTTTATGTAAATCAGTGCAGCTGACACAGCCATCATAAACAAATGAGAAAATATAACAAACACATTGTTCATGGAGGAAATGTTTGTTTTTAGAGTTGGCTTCAGTCTTACCAGATTGATGAAGAGTTGCTGATACCGGGGATCTGTAGTGAAGCGATTCAGCAGCATGGTTAGGCACGACAGATTGGGCAGCTTCTCCACTGTTATCTGGAACAGGCAAGAACTCATTTCTCTTTCCTTCTGTGCAGCATATTAGAACCCAGGGGTCAAAAGCTTCCCAGTTTGACTCCTAACAAAAAGATTTCTAGCAGAGCTACACTGGCAGAGCTTGTCCAAACTTTATAAATTCTTTTGCCAATAAGGCTTAAATTAGCAATTTAAATTATAACACTCTTTAGTTACAAAAATATGTTTTTCCCTTACTGTAACTGTATATCTATTAAGACATTGTAAGCTGTATTGGCTTAGGGGTGAGGTTTTTCATGCTGTTAAAATTCACACACCAAGTGGTAATTATATGATAGCATAGGACAGGAAAATGCAGCAAAACTCGTATCAGCCATCAGCTGAGCTTCAACCATTTTCCATAGGAATACCTATTAGTGTCCTGGCACCTCATCGTACATAATTGCCATGCTCCTTCTTAACATTAATATGCCAACCACATTCCCATGTGCAGACCAAGTTTCAGTAATACATGATGACTTTCCAGTCTGTATAAATTGCTCAAAACTACATTGCTAGTCTTGCCTTAGTAACACATGATTTTCTTCCACCACGCTTAATGTTTACTATTCCTAAAAGTCCTTTGGTCATGTATCAAAGAGAAGAATGCTACATGCTTTTCAAGTTTGAAAGCTTTTATAAACACTCATCATTCAGAGAGGTGCTATCCCATAGTGAATTAAATATTATAACAATTCTGCTATCCGTAGAGAAGTTGTGAAAGAGAAGATTGGAACAGCCTATCTGAACAAGGTAATTCTTTGCCAGCAGTCTTGCACAACTTCCAGTCTCTGAGTGGCATTACAGTTTATGAGAGCTGTCCCTGAAAGGTCTCTGGTCATCCTTAAATTTGAATTGTACCCATAAATTTAAATTTAAATGTAAATTTAAATTGATCACTTCTTTATCTCAACCACATATATTACATAATTTCTTCATTCATGGAGTACTCATCCTAAATTATCCAAACATGCATGCTTATTAGACAAGGAAAGAACGGAAAGAAAACAGATTACCTTCTCATTGGAGAGAGGATGAGAGGAGGAGAAGGACTCTCACCTTCTAAGATGTGCTCATTCTCCAGCAGCATGCACAGCTCTAACCTAAGGTTAGAGAAGATGACCATGTTCATTATAATGGATGAATTTTAAAAAGAAAGTCCACAATGCTTTAGCATCAGAGATATGATGGCACCACAAGTACTGTGTGTGATTTGGGGCTCCTGATATTAGAAGGACATCAAACTATTAGTGTGTGTCCAGGGGAGTGCAACCAATGTAGTAAAAGGACAAGATGTAGGAGGAGTGGCTGAGGCCGCTTGGTTAGTTCAGCTTGGAAAAGAGACAGCTGAGGGGTGACCCCATCACAGTTTACAACTTCCCCAAGGTGTGTAGCAGAGAGGAAGGTGCTGATCTCCTCTGATGACCAGTGATAGGACATGAGGAAAAGGAATGAAGCTGCATCAGAAGTTCAGGTTGGACATTAGGAAAAGGTTCTTCACTGAGAGGATGGTTGGCCACTGGAACAGGCTTCCAAGGGAAGTCATGATGGCTCTTAGCCATATGGTTTAGTTTTAGGTAGTCCTGTGAGGTAGAGGGAGTTGGACTTGATAATCCTTATGGGTCCCTTACAACTTGACATATTCTCTTATTCTAAAGTATTAGTGGGATGACCACATATTTGACTTCCCTAAACTTCTATCAGCAATAGCAGCCTCACACAGGTGTTTTCTGATTTAGGTTTGGCTAATTAGATTAAAACACATCACCTATCCTACATGTTCTTCCTGACCTTGATCAACCTGCTTGGCAGGACCAGCTCATACACTCTCTAGTTTGCACTCAACAAGACAATACCAGTAGTAAGCAAACACAATTATCTGGATAAAGGTAGATAGACTGTTGTTCCTTCCCTCATCCTTCTTCAGGAAAATCTACATTAAAACAAGACTGCAAAAAATTAATGTCGTATTTTAAATTATCCGTGAAATTTTCTCTCACAATACTGCACTCTACAGTTCACTAAGACATTTAATGTTATTGCTGACTGTCATGTGAAAATTGATATCTTTATCAATTATTATATCATTTCAAACCTTTCTTTAAAGTTCCAGCCTTCTGCATTGCACATATAAAGACCTGACAAACAATATACTTTAAATTACCATTTATATCTTAGTGTTTCCTTGCTACACTCACACACATACCCACACACTCCATCCTTATGATCCACTTCCAGACTCTCAACTTATATTTTGATAACAAACACCTTGGGGATCACCACAAATCTTTTTGGTTTGTAACATACTTAACATCGTGTTAGCCCTATTCTGTTATTACAACTAGGACCTACTACAGTAGTACAGAGCTGTGCAACACACTGAGGAATGATATGCCTGAGGAACCCAGAGGAGAGCAGATACATAATCTTTTTAGGGCATCAGAAAAATATAACTGACATAAAAAGTGGATGTTGTGACTGGAACAGCAAGTATAACCTGCGAATTTTTCAAATAAATATTTCTGTATCCAAAAATATTGATTTGTTCAAACCAAAACTTGTTATAGGAATTTACTAGTTTTAACATAAATGTCTCCTAGGAAAGGTTAGTCTGCTTCAGGGTGCTATTAGCACTCCACAGCAGAGGACTTCCACTAAGGTCTTTTCCAACTTTAATGATTCTATGATTCTAAGACAACATGTCTGCCTGATCCAAAAGATCAAGGACAGGATACAGAAGAGCTAGGTTCAAGTCCCTTATTATGAAATGCCATTGAGCTCTCACACATGAAGAGGTAACATTAAACTAGTTTCCAATTACATTACTGCATTATTACCTTAAAACTGCAGTTTCATGTTTTGTGTCTGTTATATAGTCCACCTTTTCTCCAGCTTAAAAACAAGATATTCTGCGAGAATCTTCCTCTGCATTTTAGTACAGAACTGGAACACACATATCTGAAGGAAACTATCCTATCACTTCTACCTCCTGTGATTTACCATTGTAGACAGTCCCCTTTCTCCTGAAATAGTCCGCTGTTGCACTATGTAGTCTCAAAATCTGCATTTTGTCAGTGCAAACTTGGCTTTGGTCTGTCATCTAAGGTTTTCATTGGGATTTTTATAAATAAGTATGCCTGTGGCTGGGATATAGGTATCATCATTTTACAAGTGAAGACCCGAGTGTGAGTATAACTTGTGGAAAAACATCAGTTCTTAAGGAAATTAGTGGCACAGCCAGAAATACTAGGAGTCTGTCACCTGTTCCTACCTTTAAAGCACATCCCGTTCACAGGACAAAGAAGGAATTCAGTATCTTTCCTAAATATTGAAGCTTTATTTGTCTCAATTTAATATCTGACTGGCTTTGGTTTTCACAAAATCTCTTTCAGATTACTAATGTGAGTGCAACACTGTAGCAGAGCTACCTGCTGAGAAAACTCCACTGAGGAAATACTTTGTCCTGGGCTCACATCTCCCCTCCAGGGAAAGTCACCGACTTGCCCTGAGCCTCTTGCCATGTGCGTGCCAACACATGGGCATGTTGCTAAACAATTAATGGACTTGAGTTTGAGGACAATGATGAGAATAAACTAAAAGGAATAGTTATAGGCATGCTACAACAGGCAAGATCTATTCCCTTCAGGATATATTTGGAAGAGGAAAGGGAAGAAAACACAATATACTCATATTCACTACAGCAGAGGATATAGAGAAGAAATTAATCCAGTCATGCCTTATGAATTATCTTTTGTGCATTACACACTTTGTTCTGCAGGACTCTCTAAAGGTTCACATTTTATGGTCTTTCACAAAAAGGTCTGTAATCATTCTAAGTGAGATATAAATACACAGATGTAAATTCTGCCCCCAGATCACCATGCACAGCTCCAAGAAGTCTATTTCAAGAATGATCGCTGGGCCAGGAATACTCTCAAGACTTTAATCCTAACATGAATATATAGACGGCAAGTGTGAAAGTTATGATCCACCCTGACCCTCAGACAGACTCTATTCTCAAGTCCAAAACACTGTTCAGGTCTGTCTGTTGTCCAGACTTCACCATTTTCCATTTGAATATGATATTGGAATTATAAAACCAGTAACATTCACCATGAACTGAAAGAGCTCATCACCAGTGGTCTGTTGGCTGGTTTTGGCAGCTTGCAATTTGCTTGGCATTGCTCTTAACTTAACCCAGCAGGGAGTCACTTAACAGGATTTGGGGAAGTGTAAGAGAAATTTGGCTAGTCAAAGCACACGCAAACACAATGAAGGAAATCATTGGAACATTTCTGATAAGAATCCAAGCCTATTAAATACTGCCATATTCAGGAGAAAAATGAACATACATTATTTCACTTGGACTTCCAGAAGTCATGCTTCAGAGGTATAACAACATCATTCTTTGATGTTACATACAACATCCTTCCTATCACATCATCAAGCCTTAGAAAGCAGACCAAACATGTTTCTTGCACTATTTTGTGAGGTTTAACAGGAAGTGCTAGGATTCAGACTTGGACTCTGCAATTGTTCGTTTACTCTTTATTTATTTAAGAAGGAAGAAAACTCTTAAGTAGGGAATCTCATTTCAAAGATACCCTGGCAAGGCATTGCAGTAGTTTCATATGCTCTATCTGTTATAAAGCATGTATCACGAAGATACACCTAATTAAGATAACACATTATTATCCCAATATCCACATGTCAGTTTTGGCATGGAAGTCAGGAATGAAAAGTATCTGACAGCTGATTGTGTCACTCTTCTTGTCAAGATGGCCAGCTATCTGAGGAAACTATAAATTCTAAATATTGGGTGAGTGACATAAAAGGAACTGCAACTCCAAAGTAGCTGCAAATGAACAGAAGGGAGATTAAAAGGTGGTGTGACTGGCAAAAGCATTTGGGGCAGGACTGTCCTAAATTGAATGGACAAAATAACTACACAATAGGATAAGGGATGGAGGGAGGATTAAAGAACCTGAAGCATCATTTTTAGCTTACTTTAGAAAGCTGTAGGCTTATTTCTCCTGTATTAATCCACCAAAGGTACTTGCATTGTTTTTATTTTTGAGCTGATTATGTCTGATATTTTGGCCAATATCCAACTTAGTCATTTCCCTGGCCTCAAATAGTATCGTGCCTTTTTTTAACTTGTAAAAAAGAGTATTCTGCATATGGTGAGCTAGAGAGTAGATAAGGACTAGATCATCACATATCAGGAACTGTTTTAAAGCAACCAAGTCTTCATCTTACACAATAAAATGTCAGGGTAACAGGGTTGTTTCAGGTTAGGCAGCCTAAATCATTACTGTTTACTTAATATTTTGTTCCTCAGATGAAGAGGGAGCATTACATGAATTTTTGGCATTTTACCTAGAAGATGATATAAAGGTCATTATCAAGTACTAGACTGAGGTTTTCCAGAGCAAAGATCAAACCCTGTCCATGCCACAGTCTTTCAAAGGATGCTAAATAAACACTTAATCTCTGTACCTCAGTTTTCAAATCTACAAAACAGGGATTTCTTTCACCTCACAGCTATGTTTCAAGGTTACTATTCATTACTTAAGTTGCCAGCTGTCTGGTTTTATGGGCAACATCATTAGTGTGAGTGAGCAGACAGTAAGTCCGCAGCCTTAACATGAAAATGCAAAGGCAGCTGTTAATAAATTGCAAATGCAAACTTAGTTTTCAAATCCACAGAAAGGCTAGACTTTAGAAAAGAATGAAGACTTAAAATCAGATTTGTATTTCCCTATAATCTGGCTTGCAACTAGGCAGACTTTCAATTTCAGAGGAGCCTACCGCACATTTAAGCGACAGGACAAGTATGTGATCAGTCTTTCCATTCACACACCAGTTTTCCCCATGACTATATTTGATTTCGACATTTAACAACACTCTGCACTTGCCTAAAAGCCACCCACATGCTGCAGGATGGCTGCATACGTTTTTAATTTGGCTTTTTGTGTTAGCACACAGCCTCTGCAACACTCCAGTTTTCCCTCTAAAGGACTCCATCACGAAGTCCTACAGCACCTGCACAATTATTTGTAAGGCCAAACAGGTCTACTTATTTTAAAAGTATCATATAATGTTGTTTTTTGGAATAAACTTTTCACACTTCAGATATGAAATAAAACCACTGCCACAGACTCTATAAACCTTCCTCCATCTGTGTTATTCATGAACTGCAGTGCCCCAGGATCCTGACAATACATGGGAGGATCATAACGTCAAGGGCTTTTGTTGAAAGTGCTGGATTCCATTTATTTTAATAGGCAAGATTACTGTATAGTGTATCATTGAAATTAACTAGATCAGCTTTTCAAAAGCAGGAGTCCAGACAGTAAAAGTAAACAATGTGCTGACAGACTCTACCCTCTAATATGAAAATCAAGTAATCACAAAGGCACTTCGATATTGTCATCAGATATTGCCGTCAGCTCCCTAGTCTGCACACCTAAAAACAGTTTTCAAGTCCTCAGCGTGCTTCCCCTCCCCTTTTTTCTCCTTTGCTGCCTGAGTTCAGATGAAGCCATCAAACCACTGCCAAAGGTATTTCTAGCTTTGATCAGACCTGGTTGAATCACTATTGCCCAGAACTTACAACAAAGGCATGGGGAGGAGGAAGGGGGAAAGCTGACCATGATCCTCTAGTAAGAAACAAAAGCTCGTTTTTATCTCCATTTATTGCATGAACTTTGCAGACTTCTGTGTTTGATTGAGTAACTTTGCATTCCTGCGATCTAAACTTAGCAATCTCTCCACGACAGTGCCAGAAGGAAAAGGCTCTCCAAAAATCTTTCAAATTCATATCAGTTATTTTGAGAGTGCCAACAGCGAGGCTGTCACAATATTAAGGTAGATATCACTAAGCTCAGTAATTAATTTATGAATTAAACGTTTCAGGTCTCCATTCATCTTTAGCTTTCTTTTCCCTAAGCTGTTGCACTGCATCACTACTGAAGGCAAGTACCTCTCCTCTTGCTAGGGAAAATAAAAGTATTACCTTATTAAAGCAGTGTGTGAGAACTCTCTGCACACATGTGCACACACACGCCTTGAGAGTAGTGTTTCATTAGTCCCAACTGGGAGTGCAGATTAAAGAAAAATGCCAGAAACCATACCTACAGTCTGACATATCTATGATATGTTGCAATGCTTGATATGTGCTGTGGGAAAGGAGATCTATATGCTATGCTCAGTTTCACTGAAGTGCTTGGCAGAAAGCACTCTTCACTGGACTGACCAGAGGCGAGTCATACCTAATAAACTGCCATAAAATACACATACACACACCACTTTGAATCATTGATTTTGCTGCTAAAGGATGTTACTGTGTATTACAGCTTTAAGTTTTCAACTTTGTCATATTTTCTAAACTCTGATCTCTTCAATTTACTTTCAGTTATGTGACATTCCCCCTTAGTAGAGTGAAAGCATGCATTAGCTAAACAATGTGGTTTGGATTTAGCGTTCCCATGCATCATTGTGAAAATGTTTGTCTCAGCAATAGTGTCATTATTGTTACTGGGAACAGCTGCTCTACCATGTCTTCTGAAAACAGAGTATCTCCCTTCCCATACCAATTTACAAGCAGGGAAATTAAAGCAGGACCATCGAGTAGAAGGTTCATGAGCACACTCTGTTCTGTACCTGGCTTCCTCCTACCACAAAGGAAACAGAAAGTGCAGCAGCGCAGCAAGAACAGCAGCAAAATAAATATTGCAAACAGAAATGTAGTTTGGCTCCCTCCTCTGGCAGTTCTTCTGGATCCAGACCAGAGACTAACCTGAGGCAGAAATCCTCCTCTCTCAGGTGCAGCTCTCTGGCAGTTTGGCTCCATTAGACATGACATCCTTGGAGCAAGAATTGGATCAGGGAGTTAGCTGCTGATCAAGCGGATGTTTAATATCTCCCTTGAGTTTCTGAAGTGGAAAGATGTAACCCTCAGCGTTCTTGCCAGTGCTCCCAGCCTAACTGAAGTCAGTTTCCACATCCAGCTCTACGTGAGCAATGGGGTCCCGCTGGGGTAGCTGGGAGCATCCCAGCAGCAATGCTGTGCTCTGCAGGCCCGTGCAGCTTGGCTCAGGCCAGCTGGACATTTTTAATGAAAACTGACAAAACACATTTGTGTGATTACACAGAGGAGCAGTCTTTAACTTACCTTTCAGAACAAGATCTTCAGAAGTAATTAGGTTTTATTTTAAGATGGATAAAATGTGTTTTCCAGGGTATTAAACCTTTTGAAATGTCTTTGGATGGGAAGCCATGTTTTCAGTCAGTAGGCGTTTTTGCAAGTCCAACCTTTAGGAACATTTTAGCTACATGAAGACCACAGCTTTTGGATATATTCTGTTTCTTGAAAGTATCTTATATTCCCAACTATGTTCTGAAAATGCAAATTAAGCACTGTGAACACTTCATTTGTATCAAACATACTTAATTTGAGTAAGGCAATTACATAGTCAATACGGTCTACTCTGGCCTCAAATCAGGAGGCCTGGAGACACACCATCTATAACGCAGCTGTCTCCTTCGAGAACACACGCAGGATCACTCTCGAGGAAAAAAGGCAACGCAGAAAGAACCGTGTATTGCAGAATACACCATCTAAGGAATCTTTCTGTTGTGCCTTTTGCAATCGGATATGTCTGTCATGTATTGGCCTCATAAGCCACCAGCGTGCCTGTAGCAAATGTGGACAGAGCCTTCCCAAATCTTCGTTCACGAAGCCTAGCCATGACAGTCTCACATAGCATATCAATAATCTGCAATCATAGAATCATAGAATGGCACGGACATCTTCCATAGACCAAATTGCTCAAAGCCCCATCCAGCCTGGCCTTGAACACTTCCAGGGATGGGGCATCCACAGCTTTTTTGGACAACCTGTTCCAACCCTAATAAAGCAGTTCAAACAAACATGGTAAACTACAAGGATTTTTGACAACTTTACCTACAATATTTTTATTAAAATTTCTTTTTGGCCCCAAAGTAACAATTTTGATCAACCCCAAATGCTGAAGTTTCAGTAAACTTGATGGGTGGGAAGAGATGGGGTTTCCTAGGTGACAAAATACACACAAAAATGCAGGCACAATGCCAAAAATGTCACATCCCATACACAACTAGCATAAAACCAAGTTTTACCCATTTTTGCTTAGACAGTTATAGTGTCTACAGTCTGCTTACCATCAGAGATATTGTGGTTTCTGCATAATTACTTTATCCCAATCAAATTAAATCAAGAAAAAAAAATTCCTTCAGCTAAAAGATAGACAAACAGAATGCAGAGTAATGGCTAACAGCTGTGTAGGTAAGAGTGCAGAGGCAAACACAGGGAACCCAGCCCTCAGCCTTACAACAGGAGAGCTACGTAGGGTACAGATCTGAGAACTCCAGGTGTGAACAAAATGGCTTATTTCTTATGGTAAAATTCCCAAACAGGCTACTCAGTTGTATTTGTCAACCTAGTAGTTTCTCCAGGAAAATTGTCTCACAGCTGTGTTCAAGGCAGAAATTAAGGTTGCTGTGCAGCACTCCAGCTTCTGACTCTCTGCACTATTTCTCCTCAAAGGAGATGGAGGGGACAGATCCTAGTCTAACAAGACATCAACATCCACCTGCTTTTCTTCAATGAATACCAGGAGGATTTAACCACAATACAGAAAAGCTGCTCTTTACTTTTCCTTGACAAAACGGAAGTAAAGGCAAAAAAAGTGACCAACACCAGTAGAGTCCCTGGGAAGGACATGGTATTTGTCAGTCACAAATATGCAGGAAACCTACATAAAATAAGGGACAAAGAGCATCTCAGAAAAAAAGCACCTACGTAGAGAGCATGATGTCATCCATTATACACACATGTGGAGGGAAGGGATCATGGATGGGAGGATGCACATCATGGCAGCAAAGGCATTGCTGCTGACCATGGAGTACCATTGCCCTCCATGTTATATCCCAAACATGTCTACAGCCAGGGAAAAGTAATTCATTACCTACAGACTCTCTCCTCAAATCCTTCATGTCTTCTGGTTTTATTGTGGTTTACATTATAAAGTAACCTCTGGCAAAGAAGTTGGAGCAGCAGAACACAAGTGATGATATGTCTAATCTCTTCATCAGGTCAAAGAACCACTTCATTGCCCCACAATGGCCCTACACCAACACATTTTAACATATGTGGAAATGAAAATAAAAATAGCTCTTTTTTCGATTTTGGTCTCACAGAAATTAGGCAGAAGCATAACTCTATATTTTCCCTCTGGAGGAGGATCTGGAGCTGCAGACTAGGGCAGTCAAGACAGAAGAGAGCCAAGGGACCTCCCAACAACTCCTCAATACACATTTACAGCCTCATGCAGTTTCTCTGGCAGAAAAATCCTGGGAAGGAAGGCAGTGGTCCTATCCTCAGGTCACTCTGAAGAATGAATTCCACCTAGCCATGAGGGCATGCCATTTAGGGCATGACATTTATAGCTCTCAGTGGGCTCCAGGCTAACACATTCATAAAAGCCCTGCTCCCTTCCTTCAGTCACTGGGGGGCAACAGGGGAGGCATTTCAGCTGGAGTGAAAAAGAATAGCCTGTTTTATTCTGATGTGCAAGTATCATCACTACTGTGGGAGAAATGAAGGGAGTCAGCCAGTCCCTCAACCCTCTGTGCTGCACACAGTAAGTCAATCATCCCCATCAATGCCAAGCATCAAGTTCACCAGCCACACGTTCCTCATATTGAGCTCTGTGAGGGTTTCTCAGACATGCACAGAACTCTGCCTATGGCAAAGTGTCAAATGTATTACTCTAAGGAGATCTTTGTTTTGGAAACTTGCTTCTCAACTACAGTTTGCTTCCTCTTTAACAGTTTTAAAGCCAAGGAGTTTTCTTTAGTAGTTGCTTTTGTTTTTAGTTTCTACTGCTTGCTCAGCTGAGGAAGATAACAGCTTCAGATTTAGGTCACCCGTAGAAAAACATGTCTGGTGATCTCATCTTGATCCCCAGTGGGTAGCCATCCAGATCACAAAGAGCAGAAGAAAAATTTGGCCCCAATAAGCAGATCTGGAAGATTGGGGCGGGGGGGCAGGTGTTTGTGTTTTCTTTAATAAAGTTGGAATATCTGGGTGTTTGCTACAGGCCAACGCTAAGGTGCATTTGTAGGCTTGTGCAAGTTCCAGCCAACATTGCTTGGCCACAGTCCTTGCTTTTGTAAGAACTGACATTGACCTTTTCTCTTCAAAGGGTCAGAATCATTCATTCGTATGTGTTACAAAACATAACAGCACTTTGTCCTTGTACAGCAACTCTCATCGCTACAGTTTCCAAGTGTGGGCAGGTACTGAATAACTTTTACATTTGGACCAAATTTACAGTGTTTCATCCATGCTTATTTCATGACAAAAAAATGGTACAGGAAAACACATAAATGAGAAACAGTATCAAAAAATTATGAGCTGCTGCTGCCTTCATGCAAGCTTGGCAGATTGTTTGCTTCTTTCCCTTCGTTAGCTGGTTGCCCCATTCTTTCTAACCTAATAACAACATTTTTGCAGTAGAGGAAAAAGAAGGGGAAAAAAAAGGAAAAAAAAAACCAAACCAAACCAAACCAAACCAAACAAAAAAAAACAAACAAACAAAAAAAAAAAAAAAAAAACACGCACACACTTGAGAATCAATAATTACGTCCAAGGCAACTCTCAAGAAAAAAATCATGGCAATTATTTTTTGCATCTTCCCCAAGCTACCTTTTTAAAATACACCAGTCAAGCCACATATTCTTCACTTTAACATTATTGATGTACAAGATGGAAAAATAACTTATCGTTGTTCTACCTGCAGTCATGTCACCTCCATATCGGATTTCATTGGATCCCATAGGGTAAGAGGTTGAACAGCACCCTTCTCCTTTAAGGACTTCACAGCATTTGTCATCTTGGTCTTAAGAGTTACATGCTGCAAGATCTGCAATTTTATGAGTAAGACAGAAGACCCAAACCCTAACTGCTTATGGTTATGAATACATTAATTTCATGACACATTACATTTCTGGAGGTTTGTTTCACAAGATGGCTGCAGAACATTCCCTTCCTAGTGTTGGTGAGAACAGCAGAACAGCAACCACAGTCACCTGTGGTCCCCTGCTGCAGAGAAGGCACTCAGAACTCATCATGCAAGTACTCAAGCCACTGAGCACACACTGGGGCAAGAAGAGGTGTTGTCAGAGCACCCAGAGCACAATGCTTGCTCCCAGACAACTATTCTGTATGGGTTTCACTGGAGTGAGCAACCGACCAGCCAAAAAAGCCATTTGCTGTTTCTTTGTAAACCATTTAAAATATTGTCTTTGTTTTATTCAAAGCAATCTAACAACAACTCATTTATGCTGAAAGTGTTAGGGAAACAAAACTTCTTCCTTCATCTCTTTTAAAAGGCTCTAACAGAATGTATCATAAAAAAGCTCTGAGGATTAAGCAAACCACAAGCCTGCCAGAATTGTCAGGGAGCATCAACTTTTCTCTGAAGGCACCTCTCTTTTGGATGTCCTAGTGATCAGCCTTCTGTTCCCCCTTTTTGCTTCCTTCCACAACACTTTGCTCTGCATTACAAAGCACAACAGCATTTTACATGAGCTCAGCACACTCAGCAGCAGCCTGGGACACTCACTGCAAGGGGATTTGGTGAATTAATAAGGAAATTATGAGACTGTAAATGGAATTTGAAAGAAACTTTGCTGTATCAGTTTTTAGTGTGCTTTCTAGTTTTATTGCCATGGACGGCTGAGAACTAAAAAAGCACACTAGTTTATGTTCTATAATATCTTCAGATTGGTACACACTGCAGACTATCACTCAGAAATTTGGGGTTGAGTGCCTTAGCACATTTTGTATTAATTATGTTTATGATAGCATTACTGTGTAAGGGAATAAGTATACAATACTGCACTTATTGATGTCATTACCCCTGCAGGCCACTGCAACCCAAAAAATTCCCACTGTACAATTCTCATTTGTCTTCCTAAAAGGTTTATACAAACTGCTTCACTTGTCACTGAAGCAAGTGCACAATTTTTATTAAATATTCACTCTTATTCACTATCTTCCCATCTCCATGGTCCAAAAGAGCAGCTTACCACATTGTTAATAGGTAAGTTAGTGTGAACCAGCTGCCAGTAGTTCATGCTTGAAAATTTTTTATAAAGCAGGCAAGCAGACAAGTCCTAACCAAATTTGCACTGATGATGCACAGATAGCTTTTTACACCATCCAGATCAATAGAAGAAAATACTTTTATCCTTGTTTGCTCGCAGGTAGGTCCCAAATGACATGTAGTTAAGACATTAAAAAACAAATTGTGTACAAGAAAAGGTGTAAAGTACCAGCCATTCAGGATAAAAGACACTGTGAAAATTATGGAAAATTATTATATTACAAAACAAAACCAGCCACATGTTTTTATTACATGGCCAGTTTTGTTGTTGTTGGAAGCATAATTCATTGGGCTTTTGCTGTGTGAACTGCAATGCAGTAGGAGTTGCATATGCATCTTCTCCTTTCCTCCAGGATGCTCAAGGTGGAAATGAAGTCACTGCCTCTCCCACTCATGACCCTCCACTCAAAAGAACAGTCTTAATATACCTTCCTGAAAGGATGAATTCACTCTTGTAGTCGTATGAAATACAGTACCATAAATACTTCATTTATCAGGAGATTTTATATGCCTTTTGAGAGTGCCCCATATGGCAAAAATTCCTTTAGTCTAATTCTTGTTTACCCTAGCATGTTACTTCCAGTGACTTTGTTGCTTATCTTGTCTGTGATATGATTTATGTTAACTCATTTCCTGTAAAAGCATACACTAATAAAATGAAAAAAATGTGAAGAAAGAGCAGGCCAGCTTTGAATTGGCATGGGAAATTGTCATAAGTAACTGCATTCAAATCCTTTTAAATTACTGTTTCAGTGAACCTTTAAGGCTCTAAAGGGCATTTTTCCCTTTTTGTACAGTTCCCAGAAGATCATTTCATTGGTGCTGTTTCAATAAACCCCTGATGCACTAGGCAACCTTGTACTAGAAAGGACCTTGGTCCTTTCTATAAAGGACACCTGCTGTTCATGCTAAAGAAGGTAGGAACAAGTTTCATATACCTCCCAAATAATCTTCACAAATAGATGCTTAAAGAAAAAAACTCTGCCAGAAACATCATGTGACATCAATTTGATAATGTTTTTTGCCTTTTAATAGTACCTTGGAACACCTCTGCGTGTTCTGGCTTGGGACTGCAAACCTCTGGGGATCCGCCATGGCTTGTACTTGCATGAAGTCAAGCCAAGGAGGCAATGTTCTCCTTCAGGTGAAGGACTCTGACACCAGTCTCCATGACATCCCTGGCAGAGAACAATTCCAGGTTCAACCTGAAAGACACAAAGCAGACAGCCAGAAGATTATTTAGTAAACAGGAAATGAGGCGTACCATACCATGTTAGTGTTTGATGAGTTTATAATGTGTTAGTAAATTACTTCAAGATGGAAATCAATCTGCTTTATTTGCAAATGTAAAAAAAAAAAATGTAATTACCCAATAAAACTGCTTATCAAGCATTGCCTTGCTTTGTGTGAGATATGTGATAAACTCTTATCCTGTGCATGACTTGGTCATCCTAGACAGGATATCATAAGACTCATTTATCAATTTACATGACTTTTCACATTAAAAAAAGATTTTTAATCTGAGCTGAAATCCTCTGGAATTCCCGATGATATCAAATAGTTTAAAGTTAAGTACTTTGGAGAAATTCAGGCTTATGCATATCATTGCATAGGGGGTTTTTTGCAGCATTAGCAGCTAGAAAGACAGCCTTTTCAAAGATAGTTCACAAATCAAATATTTTCTAACACTTTTCAGGTTCTAGGCAAAGTGTCAGGAAATGTATATGTATAAAATTGAAAAACATGTACCCACTATTTCTGACACTGGGTGAAAAAAATAAAGATACTTTCTGCAAAATTCAAGAATAATTTTATGGAACTCTAGTAGGCCAGAATCTTACAATTGAAATCAATGTACTACTGTAGTTACAAGCTTGTTTTATAGTTTCCATTTTCAAAAAAAACCCCAAACATTAATTATTCTGACTATGACCTGGACACACCATAAGCCAGAGTCTCCTGGTCAGACACAGGCTTACACAAACCACAGAGACAACTGGAGCATACATTTGCCCACATCCTGTTTTACCAATGTACCTTTCATCTCTGTGGTAAAAGTAACTCTTTCCATATGTTGTTAATTTTTGTCTTCCCTCCTGACATACAAAAGATTGTTTTTTCAAGCGAGTTACTCTGCTGGTTTTGTGATGTGACCACCTGACTAAGCGTAACTGAGCTGAGAAGACAATGCACTTCATACATGGCACCTACACAGCTGTGAGACAAGTTTCTTCTTCTAAACTGGGATGGATTTAAATGAATCCCTAAAAAGAATAGTCATATGTGCACCAAAACACATCATACCCATCCCCAGTTATATGAAACAGACTGCAGGCAATGAAAATTTGGAACACCATCTTATTACAGATCCACGTTTCAGGGGACCAGAACGCCAATTTATAGAAAAATTAGCCTCTCTGAACCGCTCTTTCCTTCTGAGTTGAAATGAGCAGTAATTTATCTTACAAATCAAAGTGGCTGAGTGCAGAATTTAGTATCGACTAGTGAAAACAAAACCTAAAAATCCCAGAGAGACGGATTTTTTCATTCTTAATCTCACTGAGTGCTACCACTTAATGAAGTACAAGCAATGGAACTCAGAGGGAACCACAGATCCTGCTCAGGACAAGCTGCTGTCAGAACTGTGCTGTTTGTTACGTAAAACACTCCACCAGAGGAATTTTATTCTTCCTAAATGAGTAGATTCCTTTTCATCTCTGCCTCTTTTCCATCTTCATACACCAGATAAAAATCTGTATTTGCCTGCTTTAAGCTTTGTCTAGAAATACTACACACTGTACTACTATGAAAAATACTGTACCTAGCACAGTGGACCCAATGTGAAATTCATTTCACATGAATAATGATAATAGCTACTTCCTGAATTACATGAAATATGTGCAGACACCAAATAATTTTTGAATAAGGGCAATGTGAATACTGTTGCATTCCAACAGATCCTCGAGTATATATCTTGAGTATATATAGCAGTACATAGGTTTTCAGTTTTTACAACTTCACAGTTTTGTTCTGTTGCATAGAAAGCAAATGTTCTACATTATTGCAGAAGCCTATGAAATATCCTTATGTTGTGTCAAATCAGTCATTTGTAAAAAGGCAAGGCATAGCTCATTATATGCTTCTGTGATCTTGGCTTTGTCTGGGATAATTAAATGTGTGCATTGCCTACATCCACTATATACCTTACATTATTATCAGTGACCTTCTTCACATGTAAGAACACACTAAAGGCTGCCCCGATTCCCTGCTCATCATCAGTGACATTTCTTTCAATGAGTCTTTTGTCTGTTGCTGTAAAGAATAACCTTGCTTTTGGGAGGTGGAGGAGACAGGCAAAAAAGTTGTTTTATGAAAGACTGTTACAAGGCCAAGGCATCTTTAAATAGAATTGGCTAAAGAAAGCCTTTATCAACATATTGCTTCTCAGGAAAACACCAAGCCAAACTGTAGTTGTATCTATGAGATCATAAGAATCAAGGATTGTTCAAGTCAGAAGGGATCTCAGCAGTTGTCTGGACCAGCCTCCTGCCGTGAGCTCAAACCACATGCTTGGGCATATCTCCAGTCAAGTCTTAAAAACCTCCAAGAATCAAGGCTGTGAAACCCCTCTGGACAGCCTGTGCCACTATCCCACTCTCCTCATGGTGAAAAGACATTTCCTCATATTCAGTATGAATTCCCTTGTTTCAGCCTGTGCCAGTTGTTTCTTGTCCACCATGCACAGTTGTGAAGACCATGGCTCCATCTTCTCAATGATCTCCAGTAGTTATGTGGGGCAGGGAGGAAGGGGCACACTGTTAGGTGCCTCCAAAGTCATCTCATCTCCAGGATAAACAAGTCCCAGTAGTGCAGCCTCAAGCATGAGTGGTGATCATTCCAGTTTGTCAACATCTGCAATTCTGTTGAAAGTACATCCCATTGTGTCCTCCTGTCATTTATGGAAATGTTAAACAGGCTAGTTCTAGGGATAGACCCTGCAGTGCTCTCCTTTTTAAGCCTCCACCCTCCAAGGCCAACCACCCAAAGAGTTATTTTACCATCTTGTTGTTCAGCCTCTAAACTGTACCATCTTATTTTAGATACAAGAACAAGATGAAAGACAGTGTCAAAAGCCTTGCTAGAGTCAAGGAAAATAGCATCCACTGCTCCCTCCTTAACCACAAACCCATGCATTTCTGCATAGAAGGCAATCAGGTCAGTCAGGCACAGTTTACCTCCAGTAAATCCATGCTAATATAACCACTTTTTCCTTCATGTGCCCAGAAATCTGTTCCAAGAGGACTCACTTCATGATTTTCCCAGTAAATGAAGTGAGGCTGATTGACCTGCAGCTCTATAAACTGAACTTTTGGTTTATCTTGCACATAGCTAAAATACTTGTAATTCTGACATCGTGCGGGCATCATCCCCAAATCTTCACAGCCTTTCAAAGATGAAAGACAGCAGCCTTGCAAAGACATTGGCCAGCTCTCTCAGCATTCTGAGACGAAGCCTATCTGGTTTCATAGACTTCTATGGCTCAAGTTTTCAGAAGTAATCCCTCACTCAGTCCTTGGCTATTGCTGGTGGTTCCCCTTGAATCTTTACACTAACTTTGGAGACCTAGGAGTCCTTGTTTGTAGACAGTGAAGCAAATAAAGCATTTAATGTCTTACCTATGGCTGCTGTCACCAAATCTTGTGTCCTCCTCCACCTGCCTTCAGACCCCTAAACCTATTCTGCAGTTGCAGACCTGAGAGTGGAGGAGGAGAAATTGTTTTCTTACTGCCAGGACTCACAGGTCCCCAGCCTTCCCCATCACAGTCCCCTAGCACCCCTCCTCCTGTGTAGCTGGGGGCTCAAGCTGTTGTTAAAGGCATGTTTAACATAACTTTGTCAGGATCAGCCTTCCCAGAAGCATCCAAGATCCAAAGATGGCACAGGAAACCTGCAGAAGAGCCAGAAGGAGAGTACAAATGGTGAACAGGAGCCTGTAAACCATCCCTGGCACCTACATGTGCACTAGCCCACCAGCAGCCCTGCCAGCTGCCCAAGCAGTGCTCACAGCTCTCCAGGTTGTAGTGCTGCCCTTGGGGCAATTAGACAGCAAATGTACACCGTGCCCAGGCACCAGCCCCTGCAGGCACATCCCCAACATTGGTGGGTCCTCCACTCCTGCACAACCATGAGCCTCCCCAAATGCCTCACAAAGACACTTTGTTCAGCTGGTGACTACGATTGCTGCTGAATACTTGCGTTTATGCAACAAAGCCCTCGGTTTCAAAATGCAATTTCAAGCAAGGACATTCATTTACCATCTTGAAAATGCCTTTTAGTATGGAATAACACAGGTTGCTTACATTTGGATTTTATCAAGTAGATCTTTTTTACACTAATAGATTTACCTCAAGAAGAGACACAGAGCTGTAGCCACACTACAGAAATAGATCTAGCATAAATTTTTCTTTTATAGGGCATGTGAGAACATTTTCTCCCAAAACATAATTCATTATAGTAACATAATATGTTAAAATATTAAGGTTGTTTCACCAAAGTTATGATATCCAAGTTTCAGGTTCCTTTCAAGACCACATCCATGAGACTAGATATAACATGGAACAAAGACAATCTGCCTTATGATCTAAATAAGACAGTCATTTGGTAAAAAGCCAATATCCCTGAATGGTAATCTGTCTTGAAATGATTCATGGAAATATAGTTCAGGCCCTGTTGCTATTAAATCCAGTGGAAGTTTTCCCACTGAAATAAATTGTTAAGGATCTAACCATAACAGATCTAATCATAACGCGGAGGTTTTCATAGACAACACAGTACAAGAGAGCTTTTCTTCAAATAGTTTTACTCTGTATTTTATGTAAGTTTCAAATGATTGCAAGGACTTAAAGGCGGGTGGGAGAGAAGCATAGTCCTAATTCAAACACGCATGAGGGACCAAGGTGCATGAAAACACAGGCAATGTTGCTTGCTTGGATTTATTCACAGATTTGCCCTCTTCTGGTTTAGGTTGTTACTCCCATCTTTCCCTCTGTGCACTGAGAATGTTTACCCATCGACTCGCCACAGGCCATCTTGCTTGGGACAGCCCTAGGTTTTATTTGGGCTTCTTGTAAACCACTGTTTTACTACCCTGACTGACCACTGCATCTTGTATAAATAGTTCTCAGGAGGATGTTTTGGGGGTTGC